AAACAAAAACTAAATAAAAAAAACAACTAACAAAATCGAATAATAATAGTCTAAGAAACACAGACACAACACAACTGCAACTGCAACCGCAATAACTGTGCATGACTCTCTGTGCAATATACCAGATTGATATATTATATATAATATATATATATATGTACTCCAACTATCGCAACTTTCGTTTCGTTACGTTTCGCTTTTAACACTCGTGTCGGGCCCCATAAATTGCAATACTTTAAACCCATTTAAAAGCCGAGCTAAATTGTTAAGCAGCAGCAATAACAACAACAACAACAACAACAACAACGCATCGATTGTGTTCAACTGTCCTAGTCAAATTTGTTCATTTTTTTCGCTTTTTGTTACACTGTGCAAAAGCTAAGCCACATTTAAGTTGTGTCTGCAGAGAAACCACAACAGCAACAACAATCACGCAGCACACTACAGCTAAAGCTCCAACAACAACAACAACAACAACAGCAAGAACAACAACAAGCGTGTGTGTGGGCGAACGCCAGAGCGAGATAGCAGCTGCAGACCAGGCGCCCAGCGTGAGAGTGTGCGAGCGAGCGAGCGAACGTCTTGCAATCAATAGAACCAAAAAGTTGTATTGTTGCTGCTGCTGCTGCTGCTTCTTCTTCTTCATTTTTGTGCTCACCCCAAACACCGGGACGTCAGCGATTTTTTTTTTGCTATCTTTTTTTCTACGTGTCTGTGTCGACAGTATTGCAAAAATCTGTAAGTATATAACAGTTATAACAGTGTATGGTTTTTTTTTTTTTGTTTGTGGTTATGTTTCTTTTTTTTCATGTGCTTCGTTTTTTTAAGTGTAAACAGTGTGAAATTTTGAGCAAAACAGTAAAATAAAAATGTTTTGCTAGCATAGAAATGCTATGCTCTAAGATCTGTAATTCAACAGCAATCGTTAAATGGGCATTTGTTTAGTAAAAATATAACAAAACTGAAACTTTTGCATCTGTGCTAATAGCGAGCTGTAGAGCTTACTGGAGGGAGGATTTTCACTAGAGTAGTTTTGGATAAACTGCGATCATCGGATGCTGAGAGAGTGTGAGAGAGTGAAGTAGAAAAGGGTTAACCGGCGAAAGTTAGGCAGAATTGATTTTCTGTATAACTAAGGCATATCAAGGAATGCAGCTGTCTCTCTCGCTCTCTCTCTCTTTCTCTCTCCATGCCTATCTCCCTCTCGCTCTGTCTATATTCTCTCTCTCGTGCTCTCTTTGCTAATTGCCTGATCTCTCCTGACTGTCTGTCTCTCTTTCTCTTTCTCACTATCCAAATCTTTCCTAATTCCTTTTCTCTTTCTTCTATTCCTTAGCTGCCTCTCGCTCTCTTCCTTTCATAAGGCTTCTCTTAGCTAACGCGAAGGTGGTACAGTAGCCGGCTTTTCAATTCTTCAGCTCTTTCTCTTCTCTGCTTTCTTCCCTGCTTGTTGCACACGCTTGTCTAATCCTTCATTCACTGTGTCTTCTGCTCGTGCTCTCTCTTTCGGTTCGTCCTTAACTTCTATGGTCTGTCTGCTTGCTTTGGCAATATCTGTCTCTTTCTGCTTTTCGCTCTGTCTATTGCTGGCCTCTTCAATTTTATTCAATTGCCGTTCTTCTATTGCACCCTTGGCCTGCCCAAGACATGCCGTGACCCACCTCAAGGCTCTGTGCGACACACATTTTAAATGAGGTCACAAATATCGGCGCAAAAGTGTCAATTACACATTTTTCCTTCTTTCTTTTTATATTTTCTGCTCATTCAATTCACACACACACACACACACACTCACACACACGGCAGCGTTGTCTTTGGCAGGGTCGCTGGCCGTTTGGGGTTGGCTGTTGAAGGAGTTGCTGGTCTGGCGGGTGGTCTGATGGGGTGTGGATGAGTGGTGTGGGAGGGTGGAGGGGGGGGGGGGGTGTGAGTAGCTGGTGCCGAGCTGCAGCATCACGCCATGTTGCAGCACAATTAAAAGCCCAGTGTGTGTGTGTGTGTGCTCTTTGCTCTTCGCTTCCTTTGACATACCCCCCGCCCCGCCCACTTTTGGGTGCACTTTCTTTGTTTGAGCTTGTCTCCTTTTTTTTTTCGTGGCTTTGACTTTGACTTGTTTTGCTTTGCCTTTTGCTTGGCACTCGCCATTCAAGTGCTGTGTGTGCGTGTGTGTGTGTATGTGTGTGTGTGTGTTCCTCTTATTCAGCTTTATCTTGTTGTTGTGGCTCTTGTTGTTGTCCTGTGTGGGCCTTTTCAAGCTGCGCCTTTGAGTTCATTGAACGCAGCCGCAACAGCTGTTTCAGACGCTTGCCACATGCCACATGCAACAGAATAGCAACCACAATAGCTGCAACAACAACATCAACCCATTGATCTGCTGCCTTTTCAGAGCAAAGCCGAAAACTAGCAAAGACCGAAAATGGAAAAACACCCAAAAAACACTGGCCGCAACGCGCACGGGTTCATTGAACCCGGCGAAACGAGCCCAAAGCCAGCAAAATCCCATAACGAATTCTGAGCCCAACACAAGCCAGCAGCCTGTGTCATGTGCTCTATGTCCTATGTCCTATGTCCCCTGTCCCCTGTCCCCTGTGCCGTGTCCCGTGTCCGGGTTACGCGACTTGCCGCTTCGTTTGTTTTTTTTACCCTATTTTCAATGCGGTCCCTTTTCATATTCTAAGCCTCACACGCAACCACACACAAGGATCTACGTAGCTAGCTAAAAACGGGGGTCCTTTTTCTGCCTCTCTCTCTCTGCCTCGCTCGTGCCGCTTGCTCTCAGTCTGTGTCTATATATTTCAACCCCTCAATGTGCTTCCAATTGGACCAAACCAGGCACGCGTTTTTCCAATTGGAATCGCATGCAGTCCTCTTAGAGTCAGTTGCATTTTGTTGTGCTAAATTGCATATTGCATGCCAAATATGTTTTGCTTGCAGCTGAAACGACTCCATGATACGCTACAAATGCCAAAAAAAAATAATGCTAAAAAGGCAAATCTATTCAATTACAAAATTCCTATGGAAAGTATTCGATTTTCAGCATCAAATTTGAAAAGGGATGTAAAGTTTTTTGTGCCGCGAAAAATAGATCTATATTAGATAGAAATTATGGTTCAAAGCTAGAAGATGTTTTGTGTTTTTAAAAAATATTAAATAATACCAAAGGCAATTATTTATAACTTTCCTAAGTATTTTAATCTTTAAACTGTGAATCTTTGTAAATAAACTTTAGATTTGTCAACGGCTTGTTTATAAAAATCATAATAATAATAAGAAAATAATAATAATGAAAATAGTAATAATAATAAATAATAAATATTATTAATAGAAATCAATTAAAATGATATAGAATAAAAACAATAAAAAATAATAATAATCAAAATTAAATAATTAATGTATGAAGATTGAATACAAAATTTGGCATAGCAAAAATGTATTCAAATTGTACAAAATGCCTAGATTGATTATGAAATTTATTTAGTTTTAATAATTTAAATGATTATTATTATTAAAATTAATACTTATAGGCAAAACAATACCATGCATACACTTAAGAAACACATTTCGTTTGATAAGCTTGACTTTTTACTCAGAAAGCTGCTTTGACTTTTTCCAATATTTAAACTCTTTCAATTTGCCGCATTTCTCAAAACTAATAAGCTCTACAGTGTGCAGGGTATTCATATTAACTCCGAAAGCTGGCGCTAAAGTGCACGTGCACCGAATGCTTCGAGTACTTACCCACTGTGGTGCGAGTCCCAACGAACCGCTGAGCCACTCGCATTTTGCGCATTTCACAAAAAAAAAAAAAAAACACAAAAACAATTTAATTAAATTCCAAGCCATTAGGCAAAGTTTTCAGCTGACAAAGAAAAAAAGAGATGAATGGCAAAAAATAGAAGAAAGAAACTTGATGATAAACAGATTTCGGGCTTTTGGTCCTGCCGGGGTGTGTGTGTGTGTGTGTGTGTGTGTGTGTGTGTGTGTGTGTGTGTGTGCTATAGGTACTATATGTCAAATATCGGATTGAGCATTAGCCTAATGTCTTTGGGGGTGACTTTTCTTTGCGTCGAGGCCCGGCCAACTCGACTGCTTAACGCGCTTATCAATGGGGGTTCAGACTGAACTTCTCTTTTTATTTTTGGTTTTTTGTTTTTTTTTTTTGTGAAGCTCGTTAACGTGAGATAATTTAGACTGATGTGTGTGCTATCTATTTGCAGATTGAGTAAAAATACGAGCGAGCAATCGAACAGAGGCTTATCATATATCAGAGACGCGTTACAGCCCAGAACAGGAGGAAGAGTATAATCAATCGATGAGAACGATTTTTAAACTGCAACCGAAGCAAAGCGAAAAACCAAACACCACCAAACAAAACCAACAACTATTAACATAACAAAACAACAATAACAAGAAGAAGAAGAAGAAGAAGAACAACAACAACAAATATAACGAATAATCATATTTAAACGTATAACAACATTATAATAAATACATATACCATATTATATATGTATGTATATTTCTTATAAAAACAACTAAGTTCCAACAACAAAAACAAAACAAAACAAAACGGAAGAAGCGCAAATTAGTAAAAGTAAAATAAAAGAAAACAAAACATTTATTGCTATCTTTTTGCATTTTTGCAATTTTATATATATATATATATATATATAACAAAATAAATAAAAAATTAACTCAAATACTCAAGAGGCGAACAGTTGAGCGAAGAAACGCGGATAAAGTAAAAACAAAAAAGAAATACCAAAACCATTAGCAAAATTTACTCTTTTATCTAAAAACAACTAAAACAAAAAAAAAAAAATAAAAGAAAAGAAATTACTTCAAACTTAAATTAAATTTTAAACTTTAAGCAAAGCCAAAGAACGGTTTAAGACAAAAACAAAAACAAAAACAAATGAACTTAAGCTAAATAAAATACTATTTTTTTTTGCGATCGTAGTTGATCTAAAAACCCAAAAACAAAAGAAAAAGTAGAGAAGAACAAACAAACGTCATAAACAAAAGAACAACAATTCGCAGAAAGATAAACAAAAACCTTGCGACAAACAACTTCACGGGACTTGTGCAAAGCGCAGTCAAAGCTCTTTATAAATAATACTACAAAAAAAAAAAAAAAAAAACCAAGAAATAAGTACATATATTCTAAGCGTAACAAAACAAGCAGTGAGATTATATACTAAGCACAAGCAAGCAAGCAACCAACCAACATCAAATACCGAGTATAGCCAAGCGCAGAAATTGAGGAAAGTAACAGTTACAGCTACAGCAACAGCAACAGCAACAGCGACAACAACATTAACAGCAACGCTAACATCAACATTAACAGCACCACGGCCAGCAACATTAACAGCAACGCCAACTCTACCAGCAAGATTGAGAGCAACAGCGAAAGCAACAGCGACAGCAACAACATCAGCGACAGCAACATTAACACTAACAGCAACAAAAACAGCAACATAGCCAGCAACAGTAACAGCAGCATTAACAGCACCACGGACAGCAATATCATCAGCGACAGCAATATTAACAGCAGCAACATTAACAGCGACTGCAACATTAACAGCACCGGCGACAGCAAAGAGAAAGACAGAAAGAGCGACAGCACCAGCGACAGCAAGAGCGACAGCAACATTAACAGTAACGGCAACAGCAACAGCGACGAGAACATGACCAACGCAATGGATATTGTGAAGAACGGGAGCGCAAATGGCTCCGTGGATGGCAGCAATGATGAGTCGCGTACCAATTTGATAGTCAACTATTTGCCACAAACCATGACGCAAGAGGAGATGCGATCGCTCTTCTCAAGCATTGGTGAGTTGGAGAGTTGCAAACTGGTGCGTGATAAAGTCTCAGGTAATTTGGGTAAATATTAACCAATATTCTAATAATTCAACTACACTAAATAGCATTAAGTAGTTTATAACTTTACTGTACAGCATGCATAACTTTGTTTATTTATACATATATATTATTACTTGTGCCATGTTCGCGGTAAATTTACAAGGCAGTTTGCGCTGATTCACCTTCTATAATCATTTCTGTTTGCCTTTGAGTTAAATATTACAAAAATATGCAGTATTTAAGATGTTGAGAACCAATAATGAACAAAATAGCGTAGCTGTGCATTATATACATTTTCAAAGGGGTTCCTAATTCTGAGCTTCACGACAACGAATTTATAAGGTGCATCTTTGCAACTCAAAATATAGATCATCAAATGATTGCACAGGAAATCATAATCTCAAGCCTCTTTGAGTTGTGTGCTTTGGTTAGACTTACTCATACTTTCACATACCATCAGATTCGAAAAATGGGGAAAGGCTTCTAGGGAATTACGGATGTTACCTCTTGGGATTCTTCAGCCTTTTAACTAAATCTCCTTCTGTTTCCAAGTTTTTACAAGTCCTATGTAAACTATTTAAAAGGGAATGAATAAGAGAGTAATGTCTACAATTTGAAGAAAATAACTTGGCACGGGCAAAGCCGGACAGCCCGTTAGTGCTAAGTCTAACTGTTATCATATATGTATAAAGTTAACAGTTGTTAAGGAGTGTGAAACTATTAACAGGGCTGTAGCTGAAAAGCGCGCTGTTATTAACATGCGAGTATTATTTTAGACAGCTGTTAAGTGAAAAGTTGATTGAATGAGTGCAAAGAAGCTCTGCAACAACAGCAACTAAGTATCAAAAACTGTCAGTTAAGAACTTAATTAATTTTTCATATTTAGCATGCACAGCTTAACATAATCGTTAACATGATTTAAATAACATGTCGAACTTGATAAATTCATTTTACAGTCTTGCCAGCATCATTGACCGCACTCAATCCGGCTCTGCAGCAGGGTAAGTGTATTTATAGATATCTGTTTTTTCAGTTTTATATTAACAGCAATTTGTAGGTCAAAGCCTGGGCTATGGATTCGTTAACTATGTGCGCGCCGAGGATGCTGAGAAGGCTGTGAATACCCTGAACGGCTTGCGTTTGCAGAATAAGGTTATTAAAGTATCATACGCCCGTCCAAGCTCAGAATCTATAAAGGGTGCTAATTTATATGTATCGGGTCTTCCGAAGAATCTATCACAACCAGACTTGGAGGGGATGTTTGCGTCGTTTGGCAAAATAATAACATCTCGTATACTCTGTGATAATATTTCTGGTAATTTTTTGCATTAACAACTATCGATAACGATAACGCATAACAAAATCTATCGGCAGGTCTATCGAAGGGTGTCGGTTTTATACGTTTTGATCAACGCAACGAAGCCGAACGCGCCATTCAGGAGCTAAACGGTAAAACCCCCAAGGGCTATGCCGAACCGATAACCGTCAAATTCGCCAACAATCCAAGCAATAGCGCCAAGGCCCAAATCGCCCCACCCCTAACCGCCTACCTGACGCCCCAAGCAGCAGCGGCCACCCGCCGCCTGGCCGGCGCCCTACCATCCGCCGGACGTATCAGGTGCGTAGCATCCATTCAAAACCTATGCAACATTTATTAGATCGGGGCCATATACCATTCACTATATATATATATATATATATATATATATATATGTATATACATATAGTACGACGCGTTCGCTTGAAACTGAGCGATCCGTGTTCGTGCGGGATTCAAAAGAAACGCCGCCCACAAAGTCGTTGATGGAAAAATGAATTAGAAACTAGAAATCAATTTGATAAACAACATATATTATTTGAGCATATGTAACAAATATTTATATATTATTATAATTTCATTTCGAATTCTTATCGATTTAACATAACTTTTACATGACTTTGTTTCTAATTTAACTACCTCTTATGTGGCATATTTCGGTTTTCTTTTTTCTTTGACAACAACAAATTTGTCATCATTTTTAGCATTGGAAAAAGTCCCATGTTAGCGATTAACAAGGGTTTGCAAAGGTGAATTTTTCGACTTATTCATTTCACACACACAGACACAGAGACACACACACAGACACACACACACATATATATTGATTGCTGTTTTACTTTTTTGATTTACTATAAAAAGAAAAGAAATACAATTTGTAATACTAAATGTTTAGCTTAAATGTTTGTGTGTAATTGTTCTACATAATATCCGAATACCCGAATACCCGAATACCCTATGATTTCAAGTACAACTCCTAAACGTAACTTTTCTTATATCCTTTCAACAACTAGCTAGCATTCACATGACGGCTTCTTGTGTTTGTTGCCACGTTTCGATTCATTCCGTTCTGTTACAGCGCATGCATCAATTCTCAACTCTTTTGATTTCCTCTAACATGAAAGTGCCCATATGATTTAAGAGTCTATTTAATCACTGTGTATACGTTATATGTTAACAAATAACATTCCTTTCGAAAGTCTGTTTATATATACGTATATATATATATATTTTCTATATTATTTAATTTGTTTTTTTTTTGTTTTTTTTTTTGTTTTTTGTCACCAAACCAGCGACAATTACATGCTTGTGCTTTTAAACGAACAATCAATTGGGCTAAGGAGTATTGTGTGCATAGAAAAATGCCATCAAAATGAAAATTTTTGCAGCACAGTGTAATAGTGGCCAGCAAAATTACTATGAAAGCATGTCACATGATATTATAAACCAGAAAAGTTGTTGCAAATGCGGCATGCCGATTTTCAAATACCCTTGCAGACTGAGCAGCTCGAGGATGCAGTCGTCTTAGGTTATGGCATAATCAAGAGAGGGCAAAAGTGAGAGAGAGATAGAGAGAGAGAGAGAGAGAGAGAGAGAGTCGGAGAGAGAGAGAGGGAGAGGGAGAGAGAGAGAACATGATGGAAACAGGTTTTCATTTTCTTGAAACTTATTTTTATTTATTTTGTAGTTTGCATAAAAGTTAAATTATTGAGATTTTCCTCTCATAGTCTGATCATTAATTAAATTAATATTTATTTATAATTTTGTTGCAAAAATAGAAATATGCCTGCGTTTAGGTCTGTTTGCCATATAAAAGATATATTATAATAATAACAGTCTGATTTTGAAGTAACTAATACAAGACCTCCAAGACGTAGCAAATTTTGGAAAATAACTAAATAAAAAGTTAATCCAATTTGGAATAGATTTGAGTAACACAGTAAAAAGCTTCAATACTTAAAATTTGAATATAAATGATAAAAAGGGTATCTAATTAAATTATAAACGAATATAGAACAGATAGACACAGTTTTATCAGGTACTGATATTACCAATCCATCGCCTCAGCAAACTGTAAGGGTATATACGAAAATAAAAAATAAAAAAAAATAAAACAAAGCCAAATTCAAAATCTTTTATACTTATACATACCCAGCATAGCGTTTTATAGTTTCCTAAGTGTTATACTCCAGAAGGGAACGACACGTTTTGTTGTGGATATATATATATATATATATATATATATAATACCATATATATATATATGTATGTACCATAAACTGAACAAAGAATACAACCTCAAGTACTTAACTCCTATTGTTAACGAATCAATTAACTTAATGTGTGTAACTAATCTATTTGAATTCTCTCCACCCCAAACCACAAATCAAATGTTAATGAACTGAACAGATACTCACCGCTGGCTGGTGATCTATTGGCCAATTCGATATTGCCGGGCAATGCAATGACCGGATCCGGCTGGTGTATATTCGTTTACAATCTGGCGCCAGAGACTGAAGAGAATGTGCTGTGGCAGCTATTTGGCCCGTTTGGCGCTGTGCAATCGGTCAAGGTAATACGCGATCTGCAGACCAGCAAATGCAAGGGATTCGGATTCGTAACCATGACCAACTATGATGAGGCTGTGGTGGCCATACAATCGCTGAACGGCTATACACTGGGCAATCGGGTGCTGCAGGTTAGCTTTAAGACAAACAAAACCAAAACAACTTAAGGGCAATCTCTGCACAGTCAACCAAACTATATACCAAACTGAATGTATCTATTATTTTTGGAACGAATCTCCCTTTCACTCTATGCAGAAAAATTCAAGAGAAAACACTCGTTACGATGAACGAGAATAAGGTAGCAGGAAAATATGATAAAGAAAAGTAACTATGGCATTTGACAGCGAGTTGTAGTCATAATTGAAATGCACACACATACCATAACACATACATGTGTATCTGTGTGTGTGTGTGTGTGTGCTTTTACCTATATTGATTTGTATGCTAAACGAAATTATTATGATTGATTGATTGATTGATAATGATTAATGAAATCTTAGCGAAAATTTAAATACTTATTATGTTTACTTTTGTGGGAAATTACACGCAGCACTTACATCATTTATCCAATTTAAGTTTATTGAACAAACAACGTAACAAAAAATACCACAAACATACTAAACAAAAAAAAAAAAATACTTTTTAAACAAATAATACCTAAAACAAAGCTTAAAAGAGGCAACAAATACAAAAGCAACAACAAGAGACAACATCTCTTTAGATTGACTAAGCGCAATGCATCAAATTAATGAAAACAAAAATACTTAAATTAACTGAAATTTTTTTTTTTTATATTTAACTAAATTGAATATTAAAATTACGTAACTAAATTATTTAATGTTTATTCATTTAACTAAGCAACTAAAAGAAAAAGCAAACCAAAAAAAAAGTATTTATATATATATATTTCTATATATATATATATAAAGAAATTGAAAAGCAAATATAATTAAAATACACGCATATAAAGAAAATGATAATTTTTAAAGAATTTATTCTGAATACCTAGGTACATATAGCATAATCAAGCCTATATGTGCTGCTTTAAATGCTAAATTGTATTTGTATTTCGTATTGTGTTCGTTTTGCAAAACTTAATTAAACTTAATTAATCAATTAATTACATTCACTTAAACTAATGTTATAATATGTACTTAAAAGCTTCTATTCAATTTGATTCAATTCGATTCGCATTGATTTGAAAAATCTGACCCCGAAGAGCCGCGTCCAAGCCGATCAACTGCGATCGCGAAACGCAACAACAGCAACAACAAAATATACATACATCATACATCATACATCATACATCATGCATACTTATAACCATTCTTATTATTATATATATGTAATCGTTTTAATCTTATTTTTTTTCGTCGTCGTCTAACTTAAAATGAGAAAAACAAAACAAAAAAAACCAAAGTATATTCAATAATGTATGTGCAAACGCAACGTAAAGAAACCAAGAAAACTTATTATATTATATTACATTATATTATTATGCCTACTTATTATTCCATTTTTATAATTATATCTTACAAATAAAACCAAAACCAAAACCAAAAAAAAAAACACAAAACGTCAACCAAACTAAAACAACATGAAAAAAAGTAAACAATAATAATAATAATATATATATATATATATATATATATATACATATACATATATATATTTATTATAAAATAAATGTGTGACTTATTCAAAAACTATGCGAAAAGAACAACAACAAAAAAAAAAAAACCAAAAACCAAAACACAAAATTTGTTTTCTTTTTTTGCCAACACTACAAACAGAACAAAAAAGACAAAACAGAAACACACACAACTGAAAATTGGCAACGTTGCGCATTGACTGATTGATTGGCACATTGACTGATTGATTGATCAGATCAGAAAACAAAAGAAAGAAGCAGCTGTTGCTGGTGCAGTTATTTGGGCTGAATATTGGCAACGGCGCACAGCTGTGAAATTTGGCAGCGTTGCACTGAAAACTGGCAATGTTGCAGCGCATTTTTGTGTGTATATATATTTTTTTCGCTTGTTCATTTCTTACCTTTATCCATTTATTTGTTCAAGCAATGTTTTTGCTTTTCTCGAATACAACTCTGCAAATGCTACAAACAAGTAACTGAAATGTGGCAACATTGCCTTCGCAGCTCGAAATTTGCTCGGCCTGGTCACGTACACCCACAAGTTATACACATACATATAAAACACATATTACAACAGTATTCAAACAAAGAAAATAAATACAACAACAGCACTCGCATTTTTAAACAAAAATAGAGAATATTGAAACTCGTTCAGCTCAGTTTCAATGGTCAAACAAAGTAAATAATGCATAAGTTTTATAACACTGGTTTTCCAAGTGTAGGAAAATGCATTCAAAACTAACTAACAAGATAGCTAACATACGTACGACAAAGTATACTTAATTTAAGATGTGAGCCTACTGCATAGATGCTCCCTCCTTCTTTTTCCCCGTACTCAGTAGCGCTTCAATCAATGTGTGTGTGTGTCAGTAGAAATTAGCAATCTAAAACTGAAAATATTTAACAAAAATGCATAAACAATTTTTAAAATGAGACTTTTTTTTTCGAACTAGTGCTTAAAGTACGGCCACATCTACATGGCAAGCGGGCACTCTGAAAAAAAAAAAACGGAAAAGAAAAAAAGAGAAGAAAAAAAAAACGTAGTTCAAGTAAAAAACTCAAACGAGGCGAGAACAAAAAGTTGTGGGAGTTGCAGGCGCAAATTGAAAACACCAAGTACATATATATATATATATGTGTCTATAATGATGTAAAATTTTTTAAACAAAGATTTATAGTAAAATTGTTTATTATATTGAATAATAAGTATATATACATGCATGCATTACAATATATATATACATATATATATATATATACATGTCAAACTAAGCAAATGCATACAAGTAAAAACAATGTGAAATACATTCAAAAAATACCAAAGATTGGAGAAACACTTAACCCAATATCCAAGCCACACAACCAAAAAGTTCGCCAAATGTGCCCGTCAAGGAGCGAGCTCTTTGGATCCAAAACTAAGCCCAGCAGACTTATCAGATGGGTGCAGCACATAAATACTCAAAGCTCGCGATATACGGTATTCGATATTCAATAAAAAAACAGAAGAACTACTCACTTATGTGTATATGTAGCAAGTGTGTGTGTACTCGTACATATAGAAATTTCAAAAATTAATTGTTCTCCTGTTTTTTTTGTTTATTTATTGGTTCGTTTTTAAGTTCCGGTTCGTTCGTTCATGTGTTTGTCTTGCCAGTGGAATCTATATAGAACATAAACTAGAAAACGAAAAGAAAAAATGGAAAAAAAAAAATAATAAAAAATTATGGAACATTTAAACATATACATACTCACTAATTGTGCATGTGTGTGTGTAAGCAAGTCAATGAACTTAATGGATTTAATTACATTTAATAACAAAATAAAAAAAAAATAAATAAACACATAAATAAATATAATAACCATCACATTAGCCAGGTGCTGGTCCCGAGCTGGGGCCCACACACCACACGGCTGTGTGTCATTATTCAAGAAAGCAATATTAAGATGTGACTCGAGTTGGCTGCAGCCAAAAGCCAAGCCAAGCCAAGATAGTCCTTCAGCCTAGATGCTTCAGAATGCAGTTCATTAATATATTCAAAAAGCTCTTCAAAATACTAGATATCTCTTTATTTGTCAAAGCAAGAAATGACTTTTGCATCATTTGGAAAATTACATTTGCACAATTTCAATAATTTTTGCCATTGTTTTTTCCGTATATTCGTTGCATATAAATGCTGACGAATGCATTTATTCATTTAATCATATTTTTATATCTTTCGGACTGAGAAAGAAATCCGAAATAGCTTGGAAACGAGTTTTGAATATTTCTTCGGATAGATAATTGAAGAGCTGCAGTATTTTCGTAGTACAATATTTAAAGTCTTCAGTTTTTATTAAAGAACAAACTAAAAGAAAGATTTCACTTTTTTCCCGATTTAAGAATCACATTTTTTCTCAAAAATATGCAGTCCTTGGTAAAATATAACTAATCCGTATTGCTTCAGAGTGCACATCTTTAAAATATTGCCAAACTTGCGGTGTTTAAGTATTTTCCTGGTCTTAAAACCATTTTCCGGACAAAAAAATCTCGTTTTTTTCTGAAAACCCTATGCCTAAAGGTGCGCATTTGTATAAATTCAAAGGTCAGCAACTCGGTCACAGAACTCACAGTGTGCACACATAAGTGTATGCTATACAATTACCTAAATATAGCTAAAGAATATTAGTACATTTAAAGGCTGAGAAGAAGAAGAAGACGAAGAAGAAGAAGACAAGGATGATGTTTTAGATGAAGAAAAAGCAGTCGAATGGGGAGCGAAAAGGTACATCCAAATAGACACAACTCACTCACTTAATATACACTGGCAAAAACAGGAATAGGAAAAACAGAAATTTAAGTACAGTCAACAAAATACAACAAAATATTGAACCCAACTGAAAAACTTGTGAACGAATAACAATGAAAATCATAAACTAAGCATGAAATGCATTTAAAATAATTTCAACAAATTTATACATATTTAAAAACAAAAAATATAAAAATATATAAATATACTCCATATATTTATATATACATACATATATATGTAATACATAAGTAGTTATATAGAAGCGTATGCTAACCCATTTGGTCCGACAAGAAGCACAAAAGTGTGAGCTATGCTTGCGTAAAACCATAAAAACTTCCAACCCTTACACGATATACAACACTAACACACACACCCGCACACATACATACAGATACATTTCATGGATTTTAATAGCACGCAGCATCAGAGTTATGCGAAAACATAAAGAAAATGAAACTACGATAGATTGCATTCCGTTGTGCAATTTGATGTTGATCAGCAAGCGATAACGATAATAGTCGATGTTGTTCGATAACTCAATTTAGTTAATAAGCAGTTAGACAAATACTAAACGAGTGTGAAATCAGCCAAAAGCCGATGCTCAAGCAGAGGCGTATAAACACGGTCTAGGTTTAAACAGCCCAAAAGCTATGCGAGCGCTTAGCTGCATGCCATGAGAATCGCATAGACAGGCGCACAGTGGTGCAGCTAGCTCAATGCTCGACTTTAAATTTAAGCAGTGATTAATTATAACTTTTAATGTATGTTCTTAGAATTGACTAAACATAAAGAAAGCAGAAAACAAAATGTTTATTAATTTGCAATAAATTTGAAAAAAAACAAAACATATACTTAGCCGCTTTGTCAACGGAACGCGCCCAAACCAAAGAGAAAAAACTCCAAAAAATCAGTTAAATAAGCAAAAATAAAACAATATATATATATATATATATATTAAGAAGATACATGATAGTGATAAGAAATTGCTAACAGGTATACACAATTACACACACATACACACAGACACACTCGAACTCCCACACATCGACACACACACACACACACACTCCAATCGATTACTAACTATTTGATTATGTATGCTACTTATGATTGTCTATGGAGATATATGTATTACTTTGTATACCCCACAAAACTTGTACTTACATATTTATTGCATTGTATTCAACTTAGTTAATCACATCTTAACCAACTTACCAAACTTACCAAAACTTTTAACATATTTATATTACATTATAGTTACATTATCTTATATTATATTGTATTGTGCTTGACATTGAAAATTGTCTGATCCATGCCTCTATATGTATTGGAGTGGTTCCACATTTGTTTCTGCTTTGAATGACAAAAACATCAAGTATCCAAAACAAATGAAGAACAAAATACCCCAATGCCCAGCTAATGTGCGCCCATAGGATACCCAAAACCCATAAAGAGATCTTAAGTATTCAAGTGCTATAATCAAGCCATACGTACTACATCTACAATTAGGCATATTTGTATATACATAGAGCTCTATGCTAGTGGGTTAACATGATGCATTTTTGTGGCAACTGCAACATGATGAAGAACCAGAGAGGAATATGAAACATTTTTTGCATAATTAGATCAAATTGGATATACCTAATACAGATGAATCGCCACGTGGCGAAGATCAACAAGAATTAGATATAACTACAAGACTTACACACATTTAGATGCATATATGATTATTATATAACTTATTACAAGAAAATTAACTATACTCGTACATACTTATAATTGATATGGATGTATGTATGTATTATTAATTGTAATTATAATTATTATTGTATTTGTATTTTATTGTATTACCATGTATTAGTTTTGTTCCACACTCTTTTGCTCTTTCATAAATAAAAACCAACAAAATCAACAAAAAATATGAAAATAAAACAGAAATTATACAAAAAAAAAAAAACCGGCAAGCGATGGTATGAATATAACGAATAAGTCACAAATCAAGCACACAAATAAAAACGACGTGAAATAAAGTGCAAGAAAAACGAAATAAGCGCTAATTAGTTTTATCATTATTTCAGTTTTTGCTTTTATTTTTATTAATTATTTATTTAAATATTTATTGCATTTTCTTTTAAACAATTCTTATGGAACATAGTGCGTAGATTTCGTATATAGTATTTATTGTAAGTATATATATTAGATAGTGTATACAGACCTTTAATATTTCACTTTTTGCATACTTTGAAAAGAGTTCAGTTTTAAAGCGACAGCCTTGGTAAATGCATACAATTGGATACCATATTTTTGCGCTGTCAATTGACGATCGGACTATAAGTACCGATGCTTTTAAAGAATACAATTTCCTCAGTCTGCCGCAACAGTTATCGCAGAAGGCAGCTCAACGTGGTGATTAGGATATCTCCTAGCCGTGCACCCTATCTTACTCTTGTGCTCTCTCCCTCTCTCTCTCTTTCCATATGTATTGTGTACTGCATCTCTCTCTCTCTCTCTCTATCTCGATCTGTCTAATGTAGTGTGCCTTGTATCTCCCTCTCTCTATCTCTCTTTCTCTCTTATTCATTACATATATATTGCGCAGTGGATCTCCTTCTCTCTCTCTCTCTCTCTCTCTCTCTCTCTCTCTCTCTCTCTCTCTCTCTCACTCTCTCTCTTAGTTGCTCTTGCTCTTTCTCTCTCGTTCTTTCTATATGTATTGCACCTTGTGTAAGGCTCTTTTTTTCTCTTTCTCTCTCTCTCTCTCTTTCTCTCCATCTCCCTTTTTATATTTATCTTTGTACCCACATGTTGCTCTTCCACGCACTCTGATATTCACCACAATCTCACCTTGAATTTTTCGCAATGTAATAGTTTTTCTTTAATTTTGTTATTAAATTATATTTTTAACGATATAAGTAGCTAACCCACTCATTGTGTCTATCAAGGAAAACTCTTTAGATTTGCAGATAACATCGTTTATTTCCAGTAAATACTTTTAAAATTTGTATCTTGATTGAGTAAATATGTAAGTATTATATAAATACAATTAACATGCTGTATCTGCATGTTCCAAAAATGCACAGTACAGAGAAATCAAATTTATATAGCATGCTTTTGGGGGCAGGTTGCCCCACAAAAGGAACCCGAAGGAAACACGTAATGGATTTATGGAACATGCATGATAGTAGATATATATATATAAATATGTTTAAATAACACTCGATTATATGTGTGTAAATATATATAGCTTTTATATTGTGTATATATATTATATATTTTGCAATCTTTGTTGGCACAAACATTTGTCATGTAGGTACATGGAGTACGTATGCGAATTTCCGTGTATCTCTAAGTTTTGGAAAATCTAATAAAAAAAATGTACTACAGCTAGAATAAAATTAGGAAAACAATGGGTATAGCTACATTTAAATGGATAATAGACAAGACATTAAATACAAACAATCTGTGGTTGCCGTTGTAATGTTGATATGCCTGCAATAGCATCTGGAGTTCAGCATGCGCCAAGCGGCATCGCCTTGGATCTCACTGGTCTAACTTGGTGGTACTTAGAAGCGCAGCTGGGCCATTTCCAGGTTCTGCACGGTGCAGTGCCTTTGTTTAGACGCCCAGCTCGCGACTGGGCGTGGTTGTTGCCAATTGTCCAGTATTACTCCCGGCCGGCGGCGGTGCGACCAAGCTGGGCATCCACTTGTTCAACAGAGTACGCATGGCAAAGGTCACATCATGATTGGCGAAACAGAACAGAAATGAGACAACGAAGCCCTGCAGGCTGACCAGCACCACCGACAACAGCTGATAGAAGCGATCCAGCTGGGTGCCAGCATCGGGTCTATAGGGCAGCAGAAAGTGCTGCAGCCCGAAAAGTGGCACCAAAATAATTGTGGCACGCACCGCCTTGCGTATGGCCAGCGGTGCTGGCTGTGCCGATTGTGGATGCAACTTGCGCACAATCACCCGCAGCACATTGATAAGAAAGACTAAGAAGAAAGAGTTGGCTAGTATGTTGATAGATAGTCGTTTGAATGTCGTTTAATACTTACTGAAACTGGCCAGCAGCGAGAGGGTAATGGGCACCGAGAAGATCCACAAGTAGAAACTGTCATTCATCCAGCAGCTGTGGGAGGAGTTTCAACAATATCGAGTTATCATATGAACTTATTTTGTTCTTTATATTCTTATGCCCCCAATGTGATCTTAAGTTCTGCCATTTGACATTTAGTATCCATAATATTAGAGCAGCTTTCAAATTTTCTAGCTAAATACCAATTACAACTTCGGGCAACTCACGTACTATATGAAATCTTTTGTACGGGCGAGTTATCATTGCTTTCAATTAAGACACTGCTTTTCCATCTATATCGCACCCTTGGAAAAGTAAGTTGAATCATTTGAATAAGTCAACATTAGAATCAACACCCATTTTCCAGATTAAGTCTAATGCTTTTAATAATTGGTTAAAATACATTAAAATGTGTTACAAACATTTTCCGCTTATATTCCACATTACAGTGTGGAATCTCGAATATCACTAAACGCTTTTTGTTAAGGTTTTACTTAGATCTTTTGAAAAAACTGGCTTAAAACGAATAAAAACCTTTAACAACCATTTAAATTTTATGAATAGGCCCAAATGCTTTAGATGGTCGGAAAAAAATACATATTGTCTTCACTTTCCACTTATTTTCCACAGTTAAGTGTGGAATTTAGTAAATAGCTGAAACGGTATTATTTAGAGCTTCGGATAAGACTTCACTCGCTTTTTCAATCTACATATGCTTTCGTATATCTGACCTGAATAAGCCCTAGTCAACATTACTCACTGAGCATTGTCGTTGGCACTGAAATGTCTGGCAACGCCGTAGGGTAGTACAAACAGGAGAGGTAACAGCCAGCTGAGCAGCTTGAACCAGCGCATCACAATCGTGTCCTTGACAAAGACCTGCAAGACAAGTGCATTAGTCAATGAAAGCTTACGTTGGCCAGCCGAATATTGAATACCCTACAATACGGTGTTACCTAAAGCTTAAGTGGGAAAAAAGTAAAGTAATTATATTCGCTGAGAAATGGAAGGGCTTCTATTTGTGTGGAATCCGATTATGATTAAATGTGAATAATAAATATTCTCGGGTAAGTCTGAGCCAATTTCATAGAAATATAATTGTTCGCAGTTTGAATTAGGTTTAAGGAATAATAAATCTCTTTATCTAGGCGAACAAACAAGTTATTCTATTTACCCATGTGAAACTGGTTCCAAGCAAAATCCGATTATGGTAAGATGTGAATATTATATTTAGCTAAGTTTGATTCAGTTTCAAGCGAAACTCTTACGCTTGCAGAATCCCGTTTCGATGAAAACTTTAATTAATGGAAATTTAATGAATGCACCTAAAGTAGTTGTTCCCAGTTTTAATTAGGTTTAATAAAAAACGAAATTCGAACAATATTTCATATAAGATCCGCTCGAGAGGGCATATAATACATTTTCCCGATGGCACTTGACATTTGCAATTTCAATTTGATGACGATAGCGGAACAGTTGCAAATCATAAAAAAAAAAAGAAAAAGGAAAATGCTTGAGAGATGCTTTCACATAAATTGAGGCGGCTGCAAATCTCATCAGGAATTCACAGCGGTTGCTCGTAAACTATGCAAACTTGTGCAGCAATTACAGCGATTTGCATGTGAATGGATGGAAAATGGAAAAGCAAAGGAAAAGGCAGGCCCCAAGCGTGGGGCAGGGGCAGCTTCAACCAAGACATACCACAACCAGAACCAAGTGCAGATGCAAACCCTCGCAGAACATCCAAAAGTAGTTGACAAGCATAAAATAATGCACCACCAAGTGGAGTGCAATGCACCAGGGCTGTAAAACACGAAATTAAAGCATTATTGTATAAGGATAATGGGATGAGCAACAGCTGTGGCCACTTACCGGATTCTCGGCTATTTGCTCGGTATGCTCAACGACCAGACGATACCAGAGTATCCAGGCGATGCATGTGCAGGCCAGGGATGCAAACAGATGCACATGTATCCTGATGCGGGTGCAGCGCAAGGATCTGTAGGATAGAGCATCAGCATCAGCATCATACGCTAGCCTGGCTACTTGCCCAGCTCGTACGTACTTAAAGCCGAGAAATATGACAATCGATATGAGCAGCGCCAGAAGCGACAGTGCATAGCCCTTCACATACAGCTCGTTCACAAATTGCCGGAACTGCAAAACAAATCAACCTTGACAACAGCTTTGATCTGGATGCACGGTGACTAACCTGAAAGTCCTCATAGTCCACACAGTTGGTATAGTTGGACCAGGTCTGATTGCTAACCGGATGCCGGAACCATGAACCAGTCTCCAAGCAACTAACCACACATAATACATGCGTACAAGGGTAAATAATTATTATTATTATCTTAATTTTCAGCTCTCATATATTGATTGTATCTGGAAAATCCTAATCGTTCATATATCTGCATAGCTAGAGTAATCAATTTGATGTGAACTGGTTCCAATTGGCTTCTTAAGTAGTTCGTGCCGCAGTAGAGTAGTTCCAAAAACTTATTTAATATTCTAGTTCCAAAATGTTTGTCCCTCATTTTCTATGTTCTATGTTCTATGTTCTATGTTCTATGTTCTATGTTCTATGTTCTATGTTCTATGTTCTATGTTCTATGTTTTATGTTTTATGTTTTATGTTTTATGTTTTATGTTTTATGTTTTATGTTTTATGTTTTATGTTTTATGTTTTATGTTTTATGTTTTATGTTTTATGTTTTATGTTTTATGTTTTATGTTTTATGTTTTATGTTTTATGTTTTATGTTTTATGTTTTATGTTTTATGTTTTATGTTTTATGTTTTATGTTTTATGTTTTATGTTTTATGTTTTATGTTTTATGTTTTATGTTTTATGTTCTATGTTTTATGTTTTATGTTTTATGTTTTATGTTTATGTTTTATGTTTTATGTTCTATGTTCTATGTTCTATGTTCTATGTTCTATGTTCTATGTTCTATGTTCTATGTTCTATGTTCTATGTTCTATGTTCTATGTTCTATGTTCTATGTTCTATGTTCTATGTTCTATGTTCTATGTTCTATGTTCTATGTTCTATGTTCTATGTTCTATGTTCTATGTTCTATGTTCTATGTTCTATGTTCTATGTTCTATGTTCTATGTTCTATGTTCTATGTTCTATGTTCTATGTTCTATGTTCTATGTTCTATGTTCTATGTTCTATGTTCTATGTTCTATGTTCTATGTTCTATGTTCTATGTTCTATGTTCTATGTTCTATGTTCTATGTTCTATGTTCTATGTTCTATGTTCTATGTTCTATGTTCTATGTTCTATGTTCTATGTTCTATGTTCTATGTTCTATGTTCTATGTTCTATGTTCTATGTTCTATGTTCTATGTTCTATGTTCTATGTTCTATGTTCTATGTTCTATGTTCTATGTTCTATGTCTATGTTCTATGTTCTATGTTCTATGTTCTATGTTCTATGTTCTATGTTCTATGTTCTATGTTCTATGTCTATGTTCTATGTTCTATGTTCTATGTTCTATGTTCTTTGTTCTATGTTCTATGTTCAATGTTCTATGTTCTATGTTCTATGTTGTATGTTCTTACTCCTTGCTCTTTTCTTCCCTATTTTTCTGTTCCATGAGCTGCAACTTATATTCTATATTTTTTATAATGCATACATTCTGAGACCCAAGTATTGTTAATTCCAGATTCTTAAGTTTGAGCTTTGTTTTTTGCCAACGATTTTCGCAATCAATTTGTAAGGCATGAATTGATCAGAAAGGAACCCAATCAGGCTACGTTGCTTGAATTTTATATGTGAGTCGAGAATGGAGTGAGTCGAAATGGACTTAACCATTTCCAAAATATATATAGACTTTTCTGTCGCATTTGGAATGGAATATAAATTTAAAAAGTGGTCGTGTTTATGATAAACATAGTACGCTTTGAGACTAGCCGCTCTTTAAATGTAGTTTGATTATAAGTTTAATTTTGCATTGAACTCACGTTTTGTGTGCCAAAAACTTGCTATTAAAACCCTCAACGAAGTCGGGACAGTATTGACTCAATACGGTGCCAGCTGGTGTTCGTGGCCAGCACAGATAGCCATCAAAATTCACGGGACAATAGAGGGTTTCCATTTCACTTGTATTATGTGAATGGTGATTTGTTGCCATTGTTGCCGATAGAACCGTGGCATAGAGCTCGTTCTCGCTGGCCGCCTCCTCATCCACATCCTGCATATCAATGGTGCCCTCATTGAGCACCGCCTGCTCCAAGTAGCGCGGTATCATTGTGTATGTCTCCAGCAGCAGCCCACCATCGCCAGGCTCTAATCAGGGTGGTAAGGGGAAGCGTATATTGGGTGGGGTAATATATACAAGCATATATGTGTTCATGAAAGTGTCGATTTGTTGCCAAGCGCGAGTTGTGAATGGGATATTCTATAATTCAAGTGTGACTGTACTGAAGGTATAGCCGCATTTAAGTGTGACCGTCTTTGTAGTAAGATTTCATACAGATTTTGGCAGCTTACTAATATCTTACTGCAGTGTGGCCGTATTTGAAATTTGATCGTATGCTTGAGTTATTTCAGTGTGACCGTATTTACTAAAATTGCGCACGATGCTTTCAGTGATACCGTTTTCCTATGACTCTTTGTTTTCTCAGTGCGACTTTACTTTGAGTGTGTCCATATGAAATGTAACCGTAATTAAAGTGTCAATGTATGAAATATCAACGCATTTTTTCATATGCAATCGTATTTGAGTCTGTCGCAACTTCAGTGCTATCTTTAATATATTCTGTGTGACTGTACTTTATAATTATAGTATGTATCAATAAACCTGTGCGAGTGTCAAACGAGTGCTACGAGCGTTGATGATGGAAACCTGAGCAGCTTTCAACTCAAATATAATAGAGTATTGAACAAACCTGTTGCCAGTTGGCCTGTGGCCGTATCATTCTGGTAGCGATAGACGCACTCGGCATACAAATGCTTGAGAAATGTGCGTAGATTATCCTGCGGCTGTGGTGGCATAGCCCCCGATACTGTCATCTCAAAATAGGCAGCTGTTGCCATAGTCAGTGCTGTAATGGAGACAAATAAAAGGAGTGTCGGTTGTTTGGTTAATTTGTTGTGCATTAGTGTGTGCATGGATGATTTACTTATGCCTCGAACAGAGTTTAATCCAGAGCACGAAAATCTGCATATGTAAATGTGTGTAAATATTAGGTGAACCGGTAAAAAGAAGTTCGCTGGTTCAGTTTACGGTTCGAACCAACAGAGCTTTCTACATGGCCTATAATCTTAGAATCTAAATCAAATACTTTCGACTTTTTATATAGATTTAATTGATCTAACTTGATCCCCTTTGACTTAAGGTTTGGTTTATAGTAAAAACTAAATTGGAATTCCGGGTTCGAACTTATTCGGCTTAAAACTAATTTGCAGCCGTCAACAACTCGGTGTTAATTTATATGTTAATGCCAGGTTCTTGGTAATAAGTCCTCAATATACAATGTGTGTATACATATATAGAACGTAATAAACAAAGAGCTGACATATACAATCACTGGCACAGGTAGCTTGTTTACTTGGAACTGCAATGAAATGAAAATATGTAAACTCCTTTCAGGCGTGTGGCGCGTCCCACACACACGCTCTGGCATTGTTGACTGACATGGCTTTGATTGCAATATGTCGGAGTCCTGATGACCTGGCGACGCATGGCCACACACTCATCTGCATAAAGGACAATGCCTGGCCGTCGGGCAGCATGCTGGAGCGCACTTCAATAAATCGGTTTATTGTCTAATTAATTAGCGTTCGTTTTAGCGCTAGCCGTCGGGGTATTCAGTTTGTAATTTAATTTCCGCTTTGCAGTTGTACAACCCAGCATCGATCGATGCTGCAACACACACAGACACAGACACACGTACGTACATACACACACTCGAGAAACAACAACACGGCACATGCTTCAGTGAGCCCTGCAAGTTTCTTGCCTAACTTTGTTATATCTTTAATCAAAACTCATTCCACTTGATTGAGTTTTAACACTAACAAACTAACGAATACAATCACACACACCCACACACACACACGCGCTCTACAGTCTGCGGCAATTCGGTTAATGCATTGCTAAACCCAAAAACCCAAAACTAAAATTCTACAAGTCACGGCCAACATGACGTATGCTTAATTTCTACTTCTGCCAGCTGCCAGGCAGTTGAAATAATATGGATATGTAGCGGGAACTAACTTTGGAATAACAACTATGATTACGTTAAGGTGCTGTCAAGTGTACGACTCGCAAATACCCTGTACTTAACATAAGAAGCGTTTGAGCTGATAGAGAGACGGAAAGAGAGAGAAAGAGACAGAAACAGAAAGAGACTGAACCATTTTCCTTTATAGCTTTCCATTGACAAGAGATTAAGATAAGATTAAGAGATAGATAGGTATAAGTATATATATTTATATAAAGTAAACAACACAAAATTGACCAAGATAGTCATAAGCTCATGTAACTTTATAACTTGTAGCGACAGTTTGAGAATCACTGTTAAAGTTTTACAGCCTAAAGTAACTTTCGCTATTGATCGTAAACTGCAAGCACTCGGATTTTCGAAAGTTTGTTGTTTTTTTCGTCTTCATCATCCTAATCAAATCTGCCTGTCTGTTGCATATATACCTCATTTGTTGAGCCTTTTTGTGTACAGGGTATATAAAGTACGCACACATATTTTTGTGTTTGTCAAAGTTTAAGCTAGATCTTTGGGGAGTGCAAAGAGCAGATGGTGTCTCTATGAAACATGTACATCTTCAAAGTTATCATGTTACCCCTTGTACTGATAAAACCTCCATGGTCACTTTATTTGCAAGCAAATATAATTCTTTAATGCTTATGCAAAGCTGAATATTTGCCAACTCACGGAGCAGGCGAACAAGTTACAATTCATATTTTAGCTGCACACCTCCATGGTCACATTAAACAGAACTAACCCTGTAAAAGTGTTTGTATAAAACATGTTTAAAATCATTAGCTTTAGCTTAGCTGATTAGATATATAGAGCAAACTGTTTAATGGCTGAGAAAAACTGTCCTCCATGGTAATTAGTCCAAGACAACAATGTGAAGATGCGTTCTACTAGTTGTAAGACAGTTGGCCAGGATTGTGTTAAAGTTTCTTTCTGAAAAAATTATGAACTTGTATAACAATTTTTTCAAACATTCCTCACAAATTCGGAAAATAGGCGGAAAACTGTTAAATAAAACTGTTGAGCTTTCCATGCAAGGCAAAGGGCTGTTACTCTGCTTAGATAAACATATATTTGCATGTTGGCATCTAAATGCTTTCTCTCTCTCTCTCTCTCATATTGACTGCTATGTCCTCCATGGTCACATTAATTCTAACTAATTCGTCCAATTCTGCTTGCTGTTTTAAAAGGCCAGCAAAGCTTTGGCGTCTTTTAATGCAGCCCATTGGAAGTAGCTCAAGCAATGCAATTGAGTTATAAGACTTTGTTGCTTGTGTTATTGTTGTTGTTGTTGTGGTTGTTGTTGTTGTTGTTGTGGTTGCTGTTGTTGTTGGAGTTGTTGGCAATTAGCTGGCCCATCAGTTCAAATGCCAGTTTGCTGCTGTCAGGGAGCGACAGTTGCCTTCTCATCTGCTCCCTGTTCCTGTACAATTAATGCGACAGCGACATTGCGTATACGCCACGTGCAACAGGCAGTTGCAACACAACCCGACCACGTATTGTGGCCAGCTAATTGCGTCTGCTTATATAGAAACCTCGATGGATAATTGTATATTCGTGTAGCACCCGGGAGCTTAAGCCTTGAGGCCAGCTAGGCTAATTGCCTAGTGGACAGCTCGTCTTGCATGGAAGCAAACAGATTGGGAAAAGCGCATTTACAAAATTAAATCAATTGCGAGTTGCGTGCATTCACATAAGAATAGGCAAGAATAGGTTCATATATAAGAAATTGTCCAAAGACTTGACCAAGAACAAGCAAAGGAAACAAATAAGGAAACAATTTTATTATTACGATATTTGGAGAGCAAAATAATTGCTAAACGAACTAAACGGGACAAACAAGGAAATTCGTATAGAAAGTAATATTCAAAAGAATTTGAATAAAATTTTGATAACTGGAATAATTGAGCCCAGATTCTGAAAAGTGTTTTAAGTTTTGATGTTACTCAGCTTATGATATCGAACTTAATTAAATGCAAAAATAAATAATAAATTCAAAATTTGTTGATCAGGAAATGGAATACATAAATACTGATAAATATGGAAAATTAATGAACGAAATAATTAAAATGGCTGCTGTTGGACTAGCACATAAAATGTGACGCTGCATAAATTAAACTCCTATTGAAATTGATGTTTGCCAAAAAACGGGAGAACAACAAAATACGGCGAAGAAAAATGGCCGCTAGCTAGGATATACTTGGATAATATGAGGGACAAAATAGGAGCAATCGATACTATTGCCGGGGATTGAGCTGAAATAATTATATGTACATATGGCTGGATACTGAATACTCTGATGATGAATTGTTGCCGCTTGTTGTTTACTGCTCAACATGGACACAATGTGTGTGCGTGTGTGTGAGAGAGACGGTGAAGGGGAGGGGGGGGGGGGGCGGTGTGTCGCCTAGTTAATGTTAATGTTTATGTGGTAAATGATGCTGGCGGCGCAAGTAGCTTTTCAACGGAAATCGAAACACAACACACAGCAGCACACACCCTCACACACCCTCACACACACAATCTCACAAAAAGAACCAGCAGAATTGGCAACACGATTTGGTCATGCAACCAATTTTGCCACGGCCACGCGGTTTGTGTATGTGTGTGTTTTTTTAAAGCAATTATAATAATAAATGAGCTTAGCTATTGCGAGTCCAGTCGATTGCTATGGATGTGTGTGTGTGTGTGTGTATAGGTCACTTAATGCAATTATGCTCTATGTGTGTGTGTGTGTGCGCGCACATTTTCCGGCTCATTGCCTGACCGAGCTGTTCTTTCACAGCGCACCATGGCACACAATCCTAAAAGCTTTCCTTTTATATGTACGAAAATTCAGTTAACAATCGATTTGATCGCACTTTTATTGCATTTGTTACGTTTTTTGCTTAAATAATACGCAAGCGGATATCAAAGATCCACAATTAATGGCACATGAATTTGTTATAAATTCAAAATATTAATATTATTATTAATATTAATATATGTATACGGTTTGCTGATCAAATGTTCTTTGGACAAAGTCCGATCAGCATGACTTTTATTTTCAAGTCCCTACAAAAAGAAAGTTGCCATTAAAGGCAATGTGATAAAGTACTCAATCGCATACTTTTGATATATAAAATGTTTTGAACTATTCCTATACAAATACATGCCATGTTTCAATACGCTAGTTCTGTAGGAAATGCAGCTTAGATCTCCATACACTGACTGAGGTCTGAAGCTGCGAATAATGCCCAAAAATATGGTTGTGGACCCTACGGTGCTGTGCAGAAAGTTTTCCACTTAGGCGCCTGATTAGCTGCTAGCATGGCAGTTTTTTATTTTATTCTTTTTGTTGCTGTTCATTTCTTTAGCTAATCAAAGTTGGTTAAGTGTTGTTCTTCTTGTTGCGCACAAAATCATAAAAACGAAAAAAAAACAAAAAAAGCAATTCAATCGCAACGGGAAAAAATTGAATTTCTTGTACACAAATTTTTGGTAATTATTATAAATTTACCTATTCTTATATTGAAATATTTTCGATACGTATTTTGTTTTACTTTTCGCACATTAAGCACAAGAAAAATGAAAACAAATTTGAATGTGCGTATGATTAAATATATGTGTTTATAGTATGCATAATACATCTAGCGCCACTCGGTTTTCCCTTGCCAGACTTACAAGGCGTGAAAAATGTTTGCTTGTTGCTCCGTTTCTTTTGCTTGGTTTTTGGTTTTGTTTAATTAACGCGCTGCGCCCGCTG